AATCTAACGCCTATTTCACTACAACGGGAAATGGATGATCGATAGGAAACAAAAAAACGTTTTCCACCAAAATTTTGAACACAAGTGAAAATTTCGCGGTCATGATTACTCAATTCAAATCTAAAAAAAAACCGACAGAATCGTTACAAATAGCCAAGGACAGATGAAGAAAGAAAGAAATCAAACTCACGTCGGGGGTACTCCGCGGATAGTGAATAGAACCAGAGAAGAGAAGTTTATGTTCACCATTGATGATCAACGATCTCTCGTCGTAAGTTACATTGCCACCCCTGTGGCTGCCTCCGAGGACGCCGTCTAATAACGCCACTATCAATACCAAAGCCGAAATCCATGGTAATCTAATGACGTCTGATTTCGCCATTGATTCTCAAAACAATCTTGCTTTCTTCTCAGGCTTTTCACGGTCAAATATAGCTAATCTTTTTATGACAGTACTAAAAACCAACTTTTCTCTCACGTGAGTGAAGTATGCTAACTCGTCTTTTATCCAAGCGAGTTTCATAAATCAATTATGTGTATAGAACAAGACATTTCTCTTGATTATATACCTCGCCGTCAATTACTTCAATAAATAAAAACAAAAATAAATAAATAAGAAATCTATTGGTTTAAGTCAACTGGATTAATTAACTAATAAAATATTAAATGAATTTCAACTCCTCCCTTCTTTAAAAAATTAGCAACTAAATATTTAAAATTTTAATTTACGTCTAATTTTATTTATTTGACCTTTTTTATTTTAAAAAAGATGTTTAGTATTATAAAAAATAATAATTTATATTTAATATATTAATTATTTTTAAAAATAATTTTGAATATACCATTTCCCTATTTATACTTAAAATTTAAAATTTATTAAATATAACGTTACAAATTTATGAATTAAATTTGTAATTAAAAGAAAATGGTAAATAAGTGAAAATATGGAAAGTTATCGTGTAATGGCTGAAACTCCTTCCAAACATTCACACACTGAGACTATTTTTCTCGAATAAAGTAATTAAAAATATATTTAATTAATTTAATTTACTTTTTAGTTTATTTTTAATATTTAAAATTTTTATTCTTTATTCCACGTTTAAATAAGAACAAAGGTTACCAATAATTAGGTAATTATTTTATTAAAATATTTATATTTGTGACGCATATAAAATAAAATAAAAATTGAGTGGTATATATGTATGGTAATTTTACTTAGTCAACTCACATTTTTAAATAAGTAGTTTTGGTGAGATATTTTATGCCATAAATATTTTTTTATAAAAAGATTAATTTTAAGTTTGTTTGTAATTTTCTTAAAATTAGAGGTCAAAATTGGAAATTATCTAAAATAGATATTATGAAAAAGCATGAAAAAGAAAATATGTATTATTTTAAAATTAAATTTACGTGCATTTAATGAATTTAAAGAAGTCTAATACGAAATTAATAAAGATTAAAAACAAACAACATTAAAACTAATATGAAATTAATTAGACTTTTTATATTTGGATATTTTTCTTTATAGTTCTTAAAATAAATTTTTTTATTTGTTTTTTTTCTTAAATTTAATTCTTTTACTTTGACTAATTATTTGCATGTTAATGATATTTAAAAATCATAAGACAAATGTTAAAACTTTTTGCTGAATTTTTCAACAAGTTGTCATGTTGATGATGTATTTAAACTATTTTTTTTTAATAAAAATTGAGAATAGTTTGTAGCTGAGTCTATTTATTTTTTTAAAAAATGCTTTTTAATTTTTAAATATTTAAAAAATAGTTTTTAACTTAAAAATTGAGAATACTAACAATTTGTCATGGATTATAAAAATTGTTATTTAATATTTAAAAATATTATTAAAACTTTTTAAGACAAATTTAGAGTAATAAAATGTTATAAAATATTTTTGAACTTGTTTTTAAATTACAAATTTTACTGTGAATTACTGGGAGTGGGTCTCACGTTAGTTAATTTAGGAAATTATCTTTATAAGTGAATAATATTATCTCACTCCAAAGCAGAGCTATGAAAGCTTATAGTAAAAATGGAGAGTTGTGATTCTTAACATGATATCAGTCATGCCAATAGAATTCTCAAATATCGAATAAAGAATTGCGGACCTCGAAGGTGTAGTCAAAAGTGACTAAAGTGTCGAACAAAGGGTGTACTTTGTTCGAGGGCTCTAGAGAAAGGAGTCGAGTCTTGATTAATGAGAGGCTTATAGTGTACTTTGTTTGAGTAGATGATTATTGAAGATTATTGGGAGTGAATCCTACTATGAATTTACAAGTGAGTAATGCTATCTTTAGGGTTATAAACACTTTTTAGAGAAAGTGGGTGGAGAATCTTCTAATAGGTAAGGGGTTGGAGTGAGGCCCAAGCCATTAATAGAGCTATACTAAACTCCAGTGAATCGCTGGTTCCCGCATTCCTCTTTGCGATTCAACTCTCAATTCTCTCAGGTTTGGATTTCTTCATTTAACCTTCAGAAGTTCAATTCATATCTGTACATGTTTTAGTCATCTTTGCGTTTCATTGATTTTGATTTCGGTACAAACGTCTCCGATCGCTCTGGGCTGGCAATTCTCTCTCGTTTTTTTTTTTTTTTTTTGTTTTCATGTT